CTTAAAACCTGACACAAAAATTTCCCTACTGATTCTCCCTAAGTAAAGAAAGCCTCAGGTGTGCTGTGGCTTTAGAGAGCTCTCCAAGGTCTTTTTTTTTTTTTTTTTTTTTTTTTTTTTTTTTTTTTTATTTTTTTTTTTTTTTTTTTTTTTTTTTTTTTTTTTTTTTTTTTTGCTGAGACAACCAGCACTCAGGAATGCCACCAACTGGAACTCGTTGATTTTGTCAGCACATCCCTCTGGAGATAAATATGGCTTAGACCACATGACATACACCAGGACTGAGTGCTGACACTCTGTTTCGCTGCCAGCGTTTACATGAGGACACTGCTCTTGCAGAATGGTTTCCCAGGGTTGAGAGAGCCAAGCCAGGGTGATTCAGCAATTAGGGAAATGACATGTGCATGGATTAGGCAAGGCTCCCATGCCCTCCTTTCTGCTGGAAATGTCACAAAGAAAATCTACATCTGTACAAGCTTCCAGGTACCACGATAGTACATCAGAGAAAACAGAACATGGGAAAATGCCAGCTGGAGGTTTAAACATGGAACAGTCATACAGATACCCAAATAGGGACAGGAAGAAAACACTTGTGTCTTTCATACACTGTGTTCAACAAGGCTATTTTTTGGGCAGCATAAACAGCAATTTCTTCAAAAGCACGTGTAATCTTTTGAGTAGCAGTTCAGCTGCCTGTGGTGCAGAATCTAACTAGATACAGGAGAGCACCAAAACTTTGGATTGATTATACTGAGAAAAGTGATAGGGGGTGAGAAAATAAGGAAGTTAAAACATAGAATGGTAGTAACAGCTCAAGGACTAAGTAAGAAAGTTCTGAAGTGAAAAGCTGTAAAAAAATCTATGGAAAGAAAAYAAAGCATCCAAAGGTGGCAAGCCAGCAATATCATGGATGAACCCATTCCAAGAAAAAGGCTGACCTGTCCTCAAATGACTAATAGCAACTTGGGCAGCAAAGACACATCCCATATCTCATTGGGAATACCAACTATGTGTGTTAGTCCTGGTCATCTATTGTATGTATCAGGCTATAAAACAAAYGTGTGTATTCTGAAATTGCACAAATCCTGCTTGCAAAGCCTCTCTKTACACAGCAAAAGATGCCCACACCAAAAGTGATCCCGTGAGGAAGGAATCTCATAGGCTAAGGTAGAAGACAGGAAGGTTTCTTTCAAAGGACAATTCCAGGGAAGATGATATAAAATATTCTCATGAAACTCCTGGCTGACAAACCACCAACAGMCAGAGACAATCAGAAATCTACAACAGGTTACAGCCTGTTTTTCTGACATACTGGTGCTGAGGACATAGCGATCAGAAATTTTTCTGCCAGGTATCCAACAGCCAGTAACTCCCCATCTAGATGCAATCTCCAGTCAGCCAGCCTCTGTTCTATATTCATAGCAACATCACAGAACTGGAGTGAAGCCTGACTTTGCACACTGAATTGACCCTGGAGTTAATCCTGGACCCTCTCAGGCAGCAAGTCCTAACAATACCTTAGGGGCAGGGACAAAAGAAGCAGCAGGGTATAAAAAAATTGAAATGCTAAAGACAGACTGATCTAGCAAACTGTGCCCCTTCCCGAAAATGAGAGACGGAAGAGTAGAAAGAAAAGATTAGCAGCAGTCCTGGGAAATGAATGTACCCACAGCTGGGGGAACACCACCAGCTTGAGCCCCAAGGTTCAGCAGAACCTCTGATGTAAGTTATGAACTGTAAAATTGTTTTTGCTTGTTGAAAATGACCAAACCCTGGTCATAAAATGCAGTTAAATTGAGAAGAGGAAAGAAAACTTAGTATTTTACATGTTTTCAAAATAGTCTGCTAGMACGAAGAAATATTTCTCACAGGTCTTTATTTTTTTTCCTTTTTTCTGGCTCTTCAARTCATTTTGAGATAATGAAAGCACTATAAAAGAAACAGACAGAGGAACTAAGGACAACCAGGGCACGTATGTTAGTTTTGTTGTTTTTTCAGTCTTTGAAAGCAATAAGAAAAAACAGACTCTGCTTGCAAAATTGCTGAAAGAAAAATGCAGATGCAAATAAGTATAGAGTTAAAGAAGCAAATGTTGAAATCTAACATTTTAGGGAGATGGCCTGAGGACCTGAACAAAATTTATGCCATTTCTTAGGTGAAATTAGTTGAAAAGCCAAATTTTCTGTAATGACAGTGGACAGTACATGACGTAAAAAGCATGCTAAAATGCTTTCACAAAGAATGTTGAATAAAATATGAAATTGCAACAGTAGCATGCTAGATGTTACTAACATAAAGAACATACACAGAAWTTGAATATCCCAAATCTGATTGCCATCAATCTAGTTTTACATTGCAGGCATCTTTGCTCATAACATTAAATACATTTATCAAACATAATCCATCTTTCCATCCTAAGAGCTCAGCAAAGTTAATAAATACATATATTTTACAGGAAATCAAAGTTAAAAGGAAATATTAAAGAGTTAATCATGGGAAACGAGACAAACACGATACAGGTAACCAGGCAGCTTAAAATATAGAAGTTTTAAAACATAAAATTTGTGCTGAAATATGGAGAGAGGGATCTAAAATGCAGGTTCAGCCAACTGCCCGTTTACTGTTCCCATTTGATGCTGCACCAAGCAGATATAACAAAAAGGCTTATTGATAACCCAGAACAACAGCTAAACCATAAATTCCATGACTGGAGGTTGAATGCAATTGAATTCAATTTCTGAATTTCTCCCTTCAGTTTTAGACTGAATGAGGAGAAAACTAATTAGTCAGCAGCAAGCACAGTTTTTCCACAAGCAATGTTGAATGTTGTTCATAAAATGATCTAGCAATCATATTCCAGCAAGTCTATGAAGAATAATATTTAGCTTCAACACAKTTTCAAAATATTGTTTCTTTTTTATAGGGAATAATGGTAAGCAGTAACACCTGCATCTAATCTGATCTTCATCTGCTGATCACATTATCAAAATACCTCAGATATAAAAGGTGAGAGAAAAGTAAAACTGATAAAGATTGCTTCACTGCTCTAATATTTCTGTGAAGTGGCTGCACTTTCAGTTTTACTATGTGCATGAATTAGATTTGGACAGTTCATCACTGCTTCTGTGGAAGAAAAATAAATACATAAGGTCATGGCAAAAGTTACAGCTTTTATATTTGCCTGTGTAAAATGTTGTGCTGGGGTAGAGTTAATTTTCTTCCCAGTGGCTGGTACAGGGCAGTGTTTTGGGTTTGTGCTGAACACAGTGATGATAATATAGGGATGTTTTATTATTGCTGAGCAAGGCTTGCATAAATCCAAGGCCTTTCCTGCTTTTCCTGTGCCACACTGGTGAGCATGGGAAGCTGGGAGAAGACACAGCCAGGACAGGGGACCCAAACTGACCACAGGGATATTCCAGACCATGAGACATCATAGCTCAGTGTGTAAAGGTGGGGAAAAGAAGGAGCAAGGGGCAATGTTTGGAGTGATGGTGTTCATCTTCCCAAGTCACTGTTTGATGGCCCTGGAGGTGGCTGAACACTTGCCCAGCCATGGGAAGCAGGGAATTAATTCCTTGTTCTGCATTCCTTGTGTGCATGGCTTTTGTTTTCCCTATTAAATTGTCTTTATATCAGCCCACAAGTTTTCCATTTTCACCCTTCCAATTCTCTCCCTGGTCCTGCCGGTGGGAGAGGGAATGTGTCAGTGGCTGCCTGGAGCTCAGCAGCTGGCTGGGGTGAAATCATAAGAAATGTGTGTCTAGAAAATGAGATAACATCCAGAACAATTCTTACACCTCTTTTTCTTCCAAATCTTCTTTCTCTATCACCTCGAAATGTCTTGAGGCATAATAAGCTTCCAGAAGGGAAAACAAAAACACTTCCCTGCTGAGAACAGTAAGGTCTGCAATATTCTTTAAAAAATAAAGGTCTGTCAAGTACATCTACCGAAGAATCATAGTATATGGTAAATTTTTTTGAACGAAATTGAAAACCAGTCACCCTCATTTTGTATTTCTTAACCAGATCTTTAATGTGAGATAGGTACTATTTCTAGTAAAAATGGTATGGCTTATTCTGATATCTRTATTAACATGAAATAGATGCTTACACATATTTGGGGGGATATAAGCAAAGAAAATTAATTTCTTTGGTAAATAATTAAGTCTATGAATAATTTAATGTGTGTTCTGAAAGTAAAAAGCATATCTGAGAGGTAATCAACAGAAATAACTAGCAGAAAAAGTATTTAAAATAGGTATGGAAATCTACCTTTCTTCAAGACATGAGCAATGAATAATTTGAAATTATTAAAATATGCAATTTCTGTGATAATCCAAGCCTTATCATAACACCAGATAAATAAATCAATTACCACATACAAGTCACAAATAAATTTTGGTAAAATTACTGCACTAAAGGCATTTCATTCCTTTCATATCCTATCTTAGATAAGATATGACAGCAATGAAATCTAAAATTTAATTCAGGAAAATAAACCAAATAATTTTATTCTTTCCAGACAGTTTTTTAGTTGGAAACTTCTGTTTCCTATATGTTCCTATGTAAATTTTCCCAGGAACTATAGACCTGAACTGTCTTAAAAAAAACCTCAAACAAACAACAAATAAAACARAACAAAAAATAACACTCCCAATGAAACAAAAGAAGTTGAAATGATTAACAAGTTTGAAGAGAAACATAAGTGCATCTAGAGTGAAATCATTGTGAAGTCAATTTTTTTGTTTTCTGCTAATTCAGTAAAAAGTAAAAACAGTAATAAATGTCTAACTCATTGATTTTCGGAATTTCTTCCCTCTTCTTTTTCCAAACTGATCCTTCAAACAACAAAATTTTATTTTAAAAATAATTTTCTTAGGAATTACATATTTTTMTACTCTAGTATTTCATGGCTTAGGAAACAGTGATATGTAGCAGGGTAAGTGGATAAAATAAGTAATGTTTAAATATATTTTAAGGGTTAAGAAGTTTCATACCTCGTGGCTGTTTAAACAGAAGACGAAAAACAGGTTCCTGCATGGTRGACTGGGACAGCTCAGATACACTTGGATGCTGATTCAACAGTTCCCGATCTTCAAAAAAAGAAAAAAAAAATTAAAATTATTTGTGGAATAATCAACCATTCAGAATTCAAAATTGATGGCACAATTTCCCAACAGCTTCACAGAGGTTTYAAAAAAATACATTCTTGAATAGGAGCACACGACCTCTTTCCCCCCGCTCTGCTTTAAGGTTCTCAGTATTTTCCTCATTGTGATGAAGTATAGATACAATACGGATATCTTTTTAAACAAATTCAAAATGAATAACATAGCAACAGGAAAACCCAAAGTTTAAAATGTTTTCAGTTAAGTAACATCTARAGATTGCAAAACAAACTATTTTCTAAATTAAAAACTCAAGCAGCAATGAAAGCCAGTGGTTACACGAAGTGTAAGAGACACAGGTTCAGGACCAGCAGTAATGACACAGTTGCAGACAASAATTGCTTTGTTGCTGGCAAGTTACTGGATCAACCCAAAAAACACTTCATAAAGACAGAGGATTTCAACATTATTTAGATTGTTTCACTGATTACTATTAATGCTGTAAATAAATGAAAAATGAGATAGGAAAAACTGGTCTGAAGGGAGACTGTAGTGGCAAAAAWAAGTCTATAGTGAAAGCTTCCTCTATAAAACTAATTACTCTGAAGAAATTATTTTCTATCTTTTTTTTTTTTTTTTTTCCTCCAGGACGCTAATAAGCTGAATACTGAAAATTTTCCCAACTAGAAGAGTTTTCCAAACTTTAAAAGATATAATATTTATTTTTAGTTTACATCCTTCTACACATTCAGCTAAAAAGTAATTTTCACACAACTAGCTAATCTCCAGAGATCTTTTTTTTACCTGAAAAATAWTTTCACTTTATGAAATTAAAGACACTAGGTCATTCATTTATAAGTTCAGAARTGCCTTTATATATTTCACATTATTTTTTTAATTGGTAGTTAGAAGAATTATTTGAATTCGGTCAGAATCAGCACAAAGTGATGTTAGCACTTTTATTAGATGACTGAAAATAGCATTTTTTCATATCTTTACTATTTAATTCTAACAGTAACTATATGTATGCAGTGATACTTAGTCCAATATATTTTGCCTGAAAGAAAAATGACCAACTAGGCAGATTTGACTTTGAGTACTCAGTTCAATTACATATAGTTACAGAAAGTAGTTTGAAAATATTCTGCGCATTCAAAAAGTGGCAATTCCAGTTTGGAAATCTTAGAATGGAAAAAGACATGGCCAAAACACTTTACATGCAGCCTTATCTTGGACATCAGGTAAGTTTTAGTAAGCAATCTTACACACTGCCACAGATATCAGTTTTGCTACTGCAGGTAACACTGGATTACCGAGGAACCAATTCACCTCCCTTATCCAATTCCTAATTAATGCTGTAGCTTTAATCTTTTCTTTGAGCACAGCCCTTCAAACTTTGAAATTAATATCCTCTTTAAAAGCTGTTGCAATTTTTTCTTGAACTATTTGGCCCACTGAAAATATGAAAAKAAATTATCCAAATTGACTGAAATAAAGTATTATGGTATTAACAAACCACTAATACTTAGGGATGATTCTTATACAGATTAACTCTGTGGGGTTTGGTTTATGCTGATTTCAGTAGTTTCAATCATTTGTATCATTTTTGTTGCTTCCAAAAAATCTTATTAGAAATACAATACAGTATTACTATATGGTATTTACAGTATCATTCAATCTGAGAGAGGTGCAGGACTGCAAATGGTTGTTAAAACATCTGTGACAGGAGTTTGCAYACTCTGGAGCTCTGATCATTGGCTCATATTGGGGAAAATCACCCACTGTCAAATAAACATTACTCACATGACTATTCTTAATGTATTCTGTGTGAAMAAGAGCTGCACATTTAAGCATTCAAGTGCCTAAATCATGGGAAGAAAACTTAATGGTATTAGATTCAAAAAGAAAATACCTAGTTTTAAGAGGTCTAGGATATTAGCAGTAGTTTAACTTGCTCTATAATTATCATAAATAGAGGACTCTGTGCCACAACAGCAGCAAAATTCACAGAAAGAAATATTTCTGAGGAATAATGCTCTTGAGTTTGACAAAGTTTCAGAAATGCAAATGAAAACTTCAGAAATGATCCAAATTTGACAATTCCCATTAATGTCTATTTTAATTCCTGAACTCTGCAGTTTCAAACATAATTTCACATCCATYTAGGGCAGAAATTKCCTATGGAATGTTACTTGAAAATAMRATASAGACAACTTGTGTAATTTCCTTTAAAGCATCAAGCACATCTTGTTTACTGCTTGTACACTTTAATTGAGATGCCCTATTTTCATTGCTGATATGTTGGATTCTCTGAAGGAGTGGCACATGGTCTGAAACACAGTTTGTGAAGAACAAGRTCAGGCAGGCATGTCACTGTGACTTCTGAGATGCTGCCTTCTGGTGACTGATTTCCCCATTCCACCCTCTTTCTGGCCTCCAGTAACAACAGCAATAAGCTGGACAAATTATTCCTCAGAATATGTAATGGCAGGAATGCTACAATGAATTTTACATCTATGATATTGTTTGTAAGACTAGATTTCTCCTCCTCTGGAAAGAAGGAAATAAGAATTCCAGTAAGTATTCCTACAGAAAGGTAATAATAAAACAAACAACAATGTCTAAATACAGCCTGAATGCATAAATCAACCATTTTACTGTGATTAAAATACAGCAAACTTTATGTATAGGTCACCAAAAACAATTGAATTAGAAAATTAACATTACAATTAATCTGATTAACAAATTCAAGCCAACTTTCAAAGGATGGGTATGATTTTCCTTTCATAAAGAYTGAGGTACAAAATTTATCTTTTTCAAAGAAAACTGTTTTGTAATTCCACAGATCACAGAAACATTAGCTCATCATGATGTCAGGTCTACTGATCTGTAAAGAAAAATGAAGACTGAAAACTTCTGATGCATAAAAACAAACATCAGTCCTTCACAGTCTAAGTCAGCTGCTTCTCCCTGTCACTATTCCTGATAACTCCCTGGGACAAATTAATGCTCCATAGTCAAAAAGATGACTGTTTTCACTAAAACAACTCAACAAGGCAGCTTCTGCTGTTTCTCAGAACTTCACAATCTACTGGGCTTTAATTACAATATTTAAGCTCTAGAAATACTTTCTGATGAAATTGCATCACAGGTAAGCTTGGTTATTTTTCTCCATTATTTTGTGAATAGCACACTGGATTAGCATCCTTACAAATAATAATTAATAGTATTASTATGCTAAACTGTGCTGTCTGGCACTTGATTTATTCTCAATAAGAAAAGCAGTTTGCATCTCTCAACTGCTCTTGTTGCTGTCCAAATCAGAATCCAAGCTTGTACTTTCCACTAGAATAAAGCATGTTTCATTCACGAGATGGAAAGGGAATCTTTATACCACAGAGGTAACACATATCTATACTTCAAAAGTTTATTAATCAGTTATTCCTGGTCAAATAAGGTACGTTGCACAGTTAGTAATTCACAGCACTTCTGATTCACACTGTCTGGCCTAAGATAAGCACACAGAATAGATGGAGCAAGGGGAAAATATAACGGGTTAACATTTTAGCATGAAAATTGCACTTCTAATAATGCAAAAGTTCACTCTATCTTCARCTGTTCCAGMAATGATGAGTTGATGAAMAAAGTARTTCAAAACTGAGATACACCAACAATTTATCAAGGTACCTCTGGACTGAAGCTCCACCATCCATCATGTCAGTCCCTTTCCCTAATTTACATTGCAATCTCTGTCATCATCCATGTCGTTAATAAAGGTYTTGAACAATCTGGGCCCCAATGCTGACCCCTGGGGTGCAACAATCATTACCAGCCAGCAGCTGAATGTCAAGATGTTGATCACTATAATCTGAGACCAATAGTTCAGCCAAGTTTCCAATCCACTCAGCAGCCTGTTCATCAAGCATAGGTTTCCTTAGCTTCCAAACGAGAAYGTTATAGGACAGAGTGACAAAAGTCTTACTAAATCATAGTATATTACATTCACTGCTCCTCCTTTATTTGCATAATCACTCATTTCCATATAGAAGGCAATCACATTCGTCAATCACGATTTGCACTTAAGAAATCCATTTGACTRCTCCTGATTACCTTCTTGACCTTCATAGTCTTGGACGTGGAGTGTAAGAGAATGTGCAAATCATGGGCTACACACACTGCAAAGGGACATGTCCAATGGCCCCACCAGGGTTCAGGTGAGGATGATCATCCTACTGCTCTTCAGTATTCCTTTTATCACTTTTCAAAGGAGAAAACAACACAGCCTTTTCCCATTAAACAAAAACATCTCCTGATTAGAATATTTCCAAAATCCCCCATATATGAATTGTGTATGTGGAAAAAGCTGTATTTCTTTATTTCTAATTCATATTCAGAAGATAGGATCAAAAAGCATGAGTTTAATGCTACAGTTTTTAAAAGTCACATTTCTTCACTTATTCTATGTTCCACAAACCGCAAATCAAAACATGAGTGTGTAAACGGGCTTAAAACTTTCCTTCGCATAGTTTTGATTTTGTTATTCTCTTATTATTTTGGATTTTGCTATTTCTCTTACATTTATTTATTTATGAATATAAAACTGGAAGGTTTATCTTCAATTTTTGTTATTTGTAGAAGCCAGGACATGCTTTGGTACCAGTTTTCTGATGCTCCCTACACGTTACATTCAAGTAGGTAGAGATTCAGAGAATTTTTTTTAAGCCTTCTGATGCACTCAAAGTGAAATTTCCTCTTTCACTGAGTAAATTTTAGTCATCAAAGAGAATGTGGGATTTAGAACCTGAGTTCTTGCAGCATTTGTGAAATTCCAGTACAGACAGTTACTCGTCTATCTTTGATAATTCTGGATCTCATATTATACTTTACAGTATGTTTGAAATATTGATGAAACATACTTGTTTGGAAGGTCAATCAGAAAAAAATGGAAAACCCAAAAAATAACCCTAATTAAAAATGTTTTGCCTTTGCTCTCTTACTAATTCCTTTAGTTATCCAGAATCTGACCAAATATTTGAAGGTAACTGAGGAACAAAAGCAAAACACAGCATTAGCTATTTGGCTTAGTCATACAGCTACCAAAACACATCTCAGGAGTCTCCTGTTGCCAAAATGTTACAGTGCAGACCAGAGCCAGCTGCACATCCACATGAGGCTGCATGACTTAACAAGTCTGCTGTGAACAGTTGTCACAGGTTTATGTTCTTTCCTATCTCCTACAGCACAGGCTACAGAGTTTTCAGGGTGGATGTGAATAATACAACAACTCAACTGCCAAAAAATTGAATTAAAGAGATATAATCACATCCCTTTCATGCTTTTAATGCAACCCATGGAGCTTAAGCTCCTTCCCCCACTACCCACCCCCCCCCAAAAAAAAAAAAAAAATCCAACCCCCTGTACCTGTCAGCATGACATCTACCACCACATTTTCTGAAGTTGGATTTTCAAAGGCTATGATGGCAGAAGCGTGTCCACCAATGCAGGCACTTAAGGTGGTTATTTCCATCGGCTCAGGGGGAAGCCCAGACCCCACAAGGTGAAATATCCGCTCCTCAAACTGTGGATGAAACATGACATTATTTATTATTTGACRAGTCAGAGCTGTACATTTTAAGGTATTTTGCCTATTCTTTCTTCCAGTGTTCTGTGTCTCTGCTATAAATTAACTGTTCTTTAGCATTTGCTTTCTTTTTTCTTCCTTCAAGCTGTTGTTACTCCAAGTATTGCTATCTGGAAATCAATAATTCCATTCTGGGAGATGTTCACATCTCCTTTTTGTATTTAATTTCTGTCCTACTTCAAGGACACAGTATTTAACTTCCATCCAGCTACTCAGAGCTTCCAGTAYAGTGAATGAAAAGATGTAGGTGGATGCAATAGCAAAATTCAAAGCATATACATTAGAAGATGAAATTAGAAGATCTTTCCAGAATACAAAGGAAAAAAGAAAATGATTCTTTGATGGGACAGCAGCAGAATTACCAAAAAAGTGAAAAGTGTTACTCCAAAGATAACAAAAAACATTAACCTTTAGACAGAGAAAAATCAAAGATATTGGAAAGAACAAGCAGATRTAATATTTCTGTGGACCATCAGGCTTCAGATAAGATAAGGACACTGTGTCCTCCTGAACTGACCTTGGATATATACTACTCATGAGAACTGTTGTCTCCTTGTTTTTATCCTCRATAAATATTTAAGAGAGATTCTGAAAATAAATACTGTGCCAACATCATCTGCAAATAACCTGTCTGTTCAACATACTTTTTCACGAAAAAAAATTGCCACATGACTTCCTTCACTATTTACTTTCTTCCTATAAAAGAACATTTGCTTCTTTAAAATTACTTAAAACGCTACTGAAAACTGCTGGTAGCACTCAACTGGTATAATTCACAGGTCAACAGTCTTCTAGGATATCTGAAACTCAAAAAAATATGCAGAGAGGAAATTGCACAGAAAGCACATGCTTCATTTAGCCACATCTCACATGGTGAAATATCACCATTTACATCATACTATCAGCTTTTCTTTCTGATTCCAGCTGTAATTTAAAAACAGTTAGTAGGTCATATTGATGACTCATGTCTCTTTATTTACTTGTTTCTCATTCAACTTTAGGAAAGTTCACCAAAAAAAAAAGTCAACAATTCTAAGGTGTTTAAAGTAGAAAACATTTTCAGATAAAATGGAAGAATTCACTTTTTCAAGCATATGACCTTCTAAAATTCAGATTAGATAAAAAATGAAACAATTTAATTTTGTTTGCGGTTGGGAAAAACATCAAGGAATTTAATTTCAGGGGTGACACTGCTAAAAAGTGCCAATCTTCTTGTGTTAAAAACAGCAGAATTAATTACTGAGCAAGGCAAAATTATTCATTACCTATTCTAGCTTCTAGTCCATTATGCTACATTTTAATACTGTAAACAGAATCATTTCTGTGTAAAACTAAGGAKAAATCAAATTACAAGTTTTGAACATCTTCGCATTTGCTCTTTCATTACGCATCCAGTCACTAAACCTCAACTTGGCCTACATGCTTAACCTCTTCCTTCCTTGCCTACCACAAACTATCTAATTTGGATCCCAAGTGTTGTGTGCACAAATTCATTATCATACCTTGGGGCATTTGAAGGTTATCGTCGCCTTGTGATTGTGTTTTCCAAGCTCAGAGGGACAGAATCGCACGGGCAGTTGAGTGGTGGAGTGAGGAGGAATATTCAGCTGTACGAACACAAGAAAGGCAAAAGAAAGGAGGGGGAAGGAAGAACAGATCAGTTTTTTTGAGTCTGTTTCTGTTCTGTGCTTTGTAACAACAGCAACGATTTGCATGTGGTTAATGTGCTCCACAAGATGCATTCTCTCCCCTCAGCAAGCACAGGCTGCAAAGGCAGAGAGTGCATTGCAGAAAACAATCCCAGCAGCAGCACTGATGTCCACTGCCCAGAAACTCTGGGGCTGCTGTTAGAGACACGGACAGTGGCCCCCAGACACCACCCAAACAGAACTCTGGTGCCTGATCACACTAATGGCACTGAACAGTGACCACAGTGACCTCCACAGACTCACACTGGCCAGGAAGGGAAATACACACCAGGTTTACATAAGCCAGTGCTTTGTCACTCTTCTGCTTACCTTAATCAAAACCAACACTGTMAATAACGTTGTGAGTTTTCTCTTCACCTCAAGCCTTCGTACTGAAACTCAATTGCACTGGGAAAAGCAAAGTACCTGACTACAATGGAGTCGTTTATGTTTTTAAAAACCAGATAAGCAGTGAAAGAATAGAATTACGAATAATAAAAGTTCCAGTTTGGTTAAGAAAGTGATCAGCCAGAATCACTGAATACAAAATGACTCTATTTCTTCAATAAAACACATATCATATATGTTTAAATAATGTTTGCACGTAAGAAAAAGTTAAAAAGGTAATTGATAGTTATCGTGAGCACTTAACCTTAGGTGTTTTATAACATATTTGCAATAAATGAAGGTAGGAACAACACWGTACAAAGCTGGTACTGACAAAATACATCTACCAACTCCTAGTGTTCCAGCTTGGTTCAAATAAATACTCCAGGATATGGCAATGCCCAAACAAGGACATCTTCCTCCATCTTTTAGGCCCCATAGCATCCATTGGCCAGCCCTCCAAGTGGGAATTCCAGTCACTTAGCCAATCAGAGGCTGAGTAGCCTGTGCCTAGGTGTGATTGACAGACAGTTCTACCAATCAGAGGCTGGATTAGCACCATGCAGGTGTGTGATTGATTGATTGATTGATTGAKTGATTGATTGATTGACAGCTCAGGCAGGCTGGGGGCTCTGGGGTCACTGTGACCCCACAAAGCAAGGCCCGGCCCCAGCCCCACACACACATCAACATTGTCTGGAGACATTGACCTCATCCCATTTCTCACAGAGCCTTATGCTGCTTTTCCTCACTGCCCCTTGGCTTTCCCTGCCATCCCAAAGCAGAGCCTGGGCAGGAGCCATGGTGTTCCTGTCATTCCCTGGGTGTGTTTATASGGTACTGTTGCCTGGGATTACACACAAACCTTTCCACACACTGTTAAAATTATAATATAAATCTTTAATTGAAAGGCTTTCAAGGTGCGCAGTATGGCGATATGCTCATGAAGTACAGTAGTTCTGCAATTTTTATAAGGTTAATTGATTAATATACCTATCAAATATTGTCCARTTAGAAGAGCAGTTGGTTAGGTAATTTTACCCTGGGTACTGTCCCACTGGAATTGGTCCAGGGGCTTTTTTGCCCCATTTCTTGTCGTGTCTTTTGAGATTCTGGTTGGAAAACAAAATGTCTTTGCTGTAGGTTGTCTTCTTGAAAATAAGACTAAACAATATTTCAGGAATGTATTAGGTTAGCTTATTGTTCTAAAATGTAGGGAAAAAATGGTAGGAAAAGTTCTAGAAGCTACAACCATGTATTAGCAGTCTACAAAGATACAAATATATGAACAGATATAAAAAGCTAAAAAGCTTTAGGCACCAGTACCTGCTGAATTAGGGACAGTGATGCTGATGTGCCTTGAACAACAGATATTCCTACTGATGGCAGGGGGAGGTAGGTTGTGTAGAAGAGAGGACAGAGCTCGGATGTGCTCAACTAACACACAAAACTTGAAATGTTATTTTTCTCTTTCTAGAAGAAAGTTTTAAAGTAATTCATCAGGATACTGCCGCAACAGTTAATTAAACTTTCATTTGCAGTTCAGTTCCTACCTACCAGTCAGATCCATTTATCAAATGAAGACTTACTAATGGAGCAAGAACCTTAGCAGAAAAAAAAAACCCTCCCAAATATTTTTTAATAAAATGAAAAAGTAGGTAAAGATGGGATGTCACAGAATAGGAATAGATAATTAAATTAATGCTAAGATTTTTTAAATTTCAAGTAATTTCAGTAAGACATCCGTATTATCCAGAATAATAACTCTTCCATGAAGATGAAAACAGACAGGAGTTCGATTTTCAATAAGTATTATTTGACACAGTATCATTACTCAGAAAATATGCTGCCACAATGCATCAAAATAATCAMCATAGAGTTATGATAATCCAGCAGACTGCCTGCTCTGAAAGCAGAAAGGATTGCAAATTTTTACACTATAGATTTGGTTTTAAAAATTCATTTTGTATTACAGTATGATGTTCTCTGAATCCAAAATGTAATTTATTTTGAAATAAGATGGGTAAAAAAAATTACTTGCTTTCTACTGAAATCCAAAGAATAAATTGCTTTTAAAAACTAGAATTGAGAAATAATATTAAACAACATATTTTAAGAATGACATACGATCATTCAATCCTTCCATAAAATATGCTGATGCAAACACATCCCCTGCCTTTCATTTTGTTTGCATAAACAGGTGGCTTCCAAGATATTCATGTGAAAAGGAGTTGATATCATTGCTTTTCATAAGGTCTTGGATATAACTGTTCAAATATAGAAACTGATTCTGAAGTAACAACAAATGCATTATTTCTGTTTTACAGTGAAGAAAGGATGGAAATTTTTCATTAAATCTAGAAGTTCTCTACTCTTTACAAAACARTGCTCATGGTCATTAAAATCCTTAAAGCTTGCACAGAGATTGCACTTCTCTCTGCCAGCCCTCCTCTATTAAGTTATTTGTCCTCAATAAAAATTGTGTTTCAAAGCCTATCAGGATAAAACACAGCTTAATGAGAAATGTTTAGGGTAGTTATAAGCCAGAATAGCAAACTGAAGACTTACAGCAAAAGTAGAATTCTTTTTTGCAATAAGGATGATCYGGTTTGTAAGAGTTTTTTGYACATCATAAATATATGTGTGTATCAATATAATACACCTATATGTGAAATATGTCCATATATTTATYTAGAAGCAAAGTAGTAATTTGGGGAACATAACACTATTGATGACTGAGAATTTTCAGCTGAATCCTTCTCTACTAAAGACAAAGAAAGCTGTGGTCAGGACAGAAACACAAAACTCAACATCCCAATGATTTTTTCCCAGACACTCATAATACCCAATGTGCTAGTGAAAAATAAGTCGGAATTTTACAGTAAACTTGAGTTCATTTGCATTCCGGCTTTTAGATAATTTGGCAGCATTTACAAAGTTATTAATTTAGTTGAGGGTAGACAAAAAGGGAAACAAAAAYTAAGTGTAGCTTGTTAAAAACAAAAAAGGAAAAATATATAAAAATCCAAATCCCTTTAAAGGGAATCCTTGAAAGCTTTTATCAAATTTTTTAAAGAAAACCAAGATGTTCTACTCTATTTAAAGACTTCTTAGGCTACAGTTGCAAAGCCTCTAGCAAGATATTCATGCCTTTCTCATTTTTGTCGGTTTATGTAGAGGTTAATGGAGCTGCTGCTAATTTACATGAAGCTGACAAGAGATTTAAAGCCTTTGAATTTCATTTAGACTTCATTATGCACCCTGAARTTCAGGAATACTTGAGCCTAATCCAACTGGACCTCAGGAAAGYGTATTATTAATGATGTCCACACTTGAAGTTGAATCAGACCTATAGAAAATAGTCCCTTGTGGTATTTCAGTAATGCCTTCTGTTCCAAACTGAAACTGGAATGAACTTACACACACATGGAAGTGTGGCAATAATTGATTTTTTAAAAATTCTTAAATATTAGTCAAAATTTTGGTTATTAATTATTTTAGGCAAATATCCCTAAGGAAGAAAAAGAATTCTGAGGTATCACTGTTGAATCTGGTTTATCTAACATAACTCAGTGACTGAAGAAATCTACTTGAGACATTTTCTGATTGACAGCCTGGTATGTTCAAGAGTTCTAYATCTTAGATGACATAAAAACAAATGTGGAAAGTTATATGAAACATTAAAATTACCAACCTGACTCTACTAACTGTCTTCAAAAGTAATGTATCTTCATTGAACAATCCCATCTTCAATCTATTGTTCTAAAAATTTGCCCTTTTGTGTTGCCTTTTATCTGAAGATTGCACAAATCGGAATCTTTCTGCTGAAGCAGACAAGAAAGCACTATTTGCTTTAAAGACAGCCGAAACTTGAATGATTAAGATGGGATCTTAATTCACACATAGCAAAGGCTCTGAAATGGGCATTAATATAAATCAGTACCTGAAACGTGGGGCACACCTTATAAGAACAAGGAGTAATTTTCTAGAAGTTGAATGCAGTGTTGTGTGGAGGTACTAATCCTAGGATGAAACAAATTCAGGAGAAGCAAGTTCACATCTGGAAAGCTGCGTCCAGTTCTGGACTCCGCAGTCCAAGAAGGACAAGGAATTACTGGAGAGGGTCCAGCAGAGGCTACAAAGATTATTGGGGGTCTGGAACATCTCCTGTGAGGACAGACAATGGGAACTGGGCCCGTTCAGTCAGGGGAAGAGACAACTGAGAGGGGATCTCATCAGTGTATACAAATACCTGAAGTGTGAATGCCTTCTAGTGTTGCTCAGGGGCAGGACAAGGGAAATGACAATGAGCTGAAATGCAGAAGTTCCATCTCAATATGAGGAAAAACTTCTTTCCTGTGTGTGTAACTGAACACTGGAACGGGCTGCAAGAGAAACTGTGGGATCTCCATCTCTGGAGATATTCAAAACCTGCCTGGATGTGATCCTGTGTAACCTGCTCTAGGTGAAGCAGAGGGGGTTGGATTAGATGGTCTCCAGGGGTTCCTGCTATCCCCAACCACTCTGTAATTCTGTGATTTAAATKCCACTCACTGACTTTGTCACCCAAACTGAAGGAAATCACATAACCTCTCCAAACATGCATCTGTAATGGAAGAAATAGGTTCAAAAAGGGATAGATACATGAAATAAATATCAAGTAGTCATATATAGGAAATTAATCAATGCTATCCTTTAACTGGAAGAAATACTGCAATTACCAAAGACCATTTCAGAATTCAAYCCATAAATTAGATAAAGCACTGAAGATTGTAATAAAAAGGAAAGAAAGAAAATTACTGCAGTTAGTGTTGAATGTGTCTTTCCCTATGCGATGTAATGTAGCTATTGTTGGTGTGTGAATCTCTGATGATAAATTATGAGAGCTGAAAGGAGATTTTTTTCTTGTTAATTTCCTKCACAAGGTACTATGCAATCTGCAGCAGCCAAAAGTCATTATAATTAAATCTAATCCACTTCTGTGCCAACGACCTAAACATAACACATATATAATACTCCCAGACAATTAATAAAGTTTGCAACCATTATATTTCTTAGCTCCTTTTCACATACCAAYTGAGGAGGTGATTAGTAATAGCACTTGTTGAGATTTAACAGTGTATGAAGATGTGTTATTACGCATGACAGAAAAGAGAGACTAAAAAAACCTTCAAGTTTTATACTTTTACCTTAATGGAATCCTATGTGGCAATATATAGGGAAGCTGAGTACATAAGTTTGATCTCCTTTAGCTATTACTTTAAGAGCCCTTTTTGGGAACATTTGGTCTGGTTGTACTCCTATTTTTCAGGCCAAAAGCTGTTCAGTTTCTGAAAACTGCAGCTATGATGACTTTATGTCATTCCTCTATTTTCCCCAGACAATCTTTTGTATCTTCTTAGCTTTATTTTATTACAATAATCCTTTCCTCTCTCTCTGACCCTTAAACCATTTTGCAGGAATAGAATCTTAAAATTGTAGAATAGTTTGGGTTAGAAGGSACCAACCAGCTCTGGTGTCTTCCCTGCATTACCTTCTTCATGTCTAGAAAAGGTGCCATTTCTTTCCTGTCTAGCACATRTTTCTTTCTTTTTTTTCATGTAAAATGTTCTGAATTCACATCTTAAGAGGTTGTGATGGAGGCACTTGATGYCTCTCATTCACATGCAGAGTTTTCATGCACCTGTCCTCCCTTTTCTCTCCCCATCATGAAAAGGTCACATATTTCACAGGATTAGCTATTAATAATATCCAAAGAATTCTTTGTGGGACCTGTACTGTTAACTAGCATTCAGTGGTCAATAACAAATATTTTTCTGAACTCTGACCACCTATAACACTAGCCAACTTCCATGGAAATGTAAAAGCTGAGCCAATCTGTACAACTGTTATTCCTAGCAAGGGTGCAAATGTTAGGCAAATAGATGGAAGGGCTTCTGTGATGGAGGAGGGAAAAGTGGAGTGTATAATAGCTAGAGGGTTAAGATTTTCTCTGTAGGAATCACTCTCAAGGTAACTGTGAGTTTGGASAATAAAATGATTCAGGGTATTTGCTTGCAGCTTCTTTGCAGCTACATTGATCAAATTATTATTCATCAGCCTTGCAAGCTGCTTTTAGCTGCCATAACTAGAAGATATCCTTGAATTTTTCCATTAACATTTTATTTTCTAACCTAAATATTTATCTAGTTATATTGTTGATTATTGGACACTTGTGAAGCTTCTAACCAGCTGGTTTGTTTACAACTTCCCCTGCAAATATCTCCTGAATTATTTAAAGCCTACACTGCAGTCCTGCTCAAAACCATTCCACAAAGCACACCAGAAGAAAAAACATTCATCTCGAGTTGCTTTTCAAGTTTAATTGTTTTCTTCCTCAGGGTATAAAATCTCTAAAATATACACTTAAAATGTCTAAAAGATTGTATATTCTGAACCCACAGTATGATACACACAATTCAATTTGTTTTCAAAGGAAGACTCTCTTCTATTTTTGTGTAAAAGTACAAGGTCTTGTGAAAGCACAAATCTTACTTACAGATTGTTCTGGGTCAGTCTCAATTGCAAAATGGCTGGGATCRCTGTTAAACATTTGTAGCTTCAAAGTTTCATTAGTAGGATTAGAAAGAGGTATGTACTGATAAACCCATCTGGAAAAAAACCATATATACAATGACAATTAATTACAAAGCTTCTTCCAGAACATGTCATTATTCATATATTTTTTTTTTTAAATTTCCTGAAAAATTCAGGGTTTGGGTTTTTTTTTTTTTCTGTTTTAAAAATAATAATTAGTTTTCATTGCATTAGCATTTCCCCACTAATGTGGACACATATTTATAACTTTAATTATTATTACTAACCATCATTAATAATAATAAATCCTGAATTAATTAAATGTTTCATTTTGTACAATTGTTGTTCATTACAGTATAATCATTGAACCATTATGCTGCATAGGTAGATTGTGTATTTCAATGAGTATAGTGACTGTCCCAGAACAAAGAAATGTTATGCTTTGAATCAGCTGCCCCTCAGTTTTACAGACTTTCTTTCTTTATTTTCCAGTGAAAGAATAAACATGAGATACTTTCAATAGGGAGAAAAAAWTTCAAATAATTCATAAGACTCCCAACATTTCCTCTCATACGGTCAAAATATTGTATTTTTTACTTTTAACTTTTAAAGTTATATGACCATAAATCACATTCTTGTTGTAACACCAAGGGACACCGAGAAGAAATTCAAGGTGAATAAGTGAAAACAGTAAATAAGAAAAGTTTGAAAAATGAGATACWTATATTGGTTTTGCTGTAATTTATCTCCTAATGGATATTCCCTCTAGTCAAAGCTGTGGCAGGCCAACTGCCAGATTTCTCTACATATTTATCATCTGGAAAAAATTAGTCTGTTAATCATAGCTAAATCAGTAAGGAAAAAGAAAAAAATAAAAAGCAACATTCAGTCCAGCTTTATGACTGTAACTTCAGACCCTGAAACCTGTTCACAGGTGGGCTCCTTCCAACCTGTTCAGTGACATAAATCCCCAGATTTGTTTCTGACTAAGAGTGTCAAAGCATTGTATCACTGAGATCCCAACAGCAGAGAGTAAAGATGTACTAGGAAACTTTCACACAGGATTCACTTAATAGTTCCCATTTTCCTATTTTTCACATTTACTATCTCCATCTTTTTTTTTTTTTATTTTTTATCTCTTTCATCCATAAAACTTTGTCAAAGGAAAAATTTGGAATATCTGAAATTTTRGTAAGGAGCTACCTGACTGCTAGAGGTTCTTCAAGTCATCAAAATCCTGCCACCCCACACAGACTGACTSTTGTGGTTAGGCTGGAAAAATTGTTGCATATGGCAGTAAATTCCAAACCACTGTGAACACCCTTCACCTGACTCATCTTCAGTGACTCCACTGAGGAGCTCATAACAAGATGGATAAGATGAAAAATACCAGGGAGAAAGCTTCCTTCCTTAGAAACATAAGGATGCTAAAGGATGTGTTAAATATACCTTGACACAAACAAAAGCAGATCTGACAGTGGTAACCCCAGAATTTTAGGGAATGTGAAGAAGGATTAAAAGATAAATTGTTAGATTTTTTTTTCTCTTTCAAGAATTGCTTACAAATTGATTCTAAGTTATCAATGGGTTCCTGGCTCCTAATCCAATTCTGGGTAATGTTTCAAGGACACAAATTCCTAATTTTTTCAGATCAACAGAAAAAAAAAGAAGACAGTGAGCACACAAAAACATTATTCTTATATTAATATGTTAATGTTTCCTCTGCATTCAAGGAAAAGGTGGTAGAATGGAAGTGAGTCTGTTAAAGAACTACAGATCTTCACCAACCAGAAATGCTTCAAACATTTGATGACATTTACAGTTCACATCTCTGGGTACAGAGCAAGGAAGTACATCCATTCAAAAAAAAACTGATACCTTTCTTGAACAGACAACACATAGATGTCTACGTGCACTGCCTTTACATATTTAAAATACATTGATGCAGCCAATTTACTTGGACTGTCTCATYTTTTCATGAGGCAGAGCAATTCTCAGTAATTTAACTGTAACCTCAATGCCATCACTGACTGCCATTTTCCAACACTCTGGAATTCAGGAAGAGTGCTGATGACATTATACTGACACTGCTGGGCACCAACAAAAAGAGCCTGGCACCATCTTCTTGGCACCCACTTTTGTSATATTTATAYATATTGATGAGATCCYCTCTCAGTSTTCTCTCCAGACTAAAGAGGCTCAGATCTCACAGTCTCTCCTCACAAGAGATGCTCCAGATCCCTCATCATTCTGCACTGGACCCTCTCCAGGAGCTCCTTGTCTTTCTTGTACTGARGAGCCCAGAGCTGGACACGGTGTTCCTCCTCACATTTACAGATGTGCAGGAATTATAACACACATGTACTTGTAAAGTGAAAAGAAATATCATTTAAAAACATAAAACTCAGTGTTTGGTGAGTTTGAGATAAGAGTTTTATTTTGACTTTAAGTCAAGAGTTGTAGTTAATGGAACCATTCTCTTCCAACATCCATTTTACTTGCAGTAACAAAGGATGACTTGCCAATTTTTTTGTGCATGTAGTTCCCAGGCAGTGCATGCCAGAGAAATTTATGAATGCCAAATAATCTGAATGAAAAGTTTTAAATAACTCCTAACAGCAATAACCTAAGAGTAGAGAAATACCATGTTTTTTACTCCAGTCAGTACAGAATTTTAAAATAAAAACCAGGAAATAGCATGATTTGTTTTCTTTAGAACACAGTAAGAAAGGCATTGTCAGTTATGTCCAGTCTCTGCCTCATATTAGAACAGGAGAATATATTCACTCACAAAAGTTTAATCAGGTAAAMTTTCATGTTGTGCTAACAACATTTTTGCTCAATCTGTAATGTATATTTACTACAGATTTAGTCAAAGATATACAGAAGCAAGTGGAATTTAGCATTCAGAAGAGAAGTGTATCCACAGAAACTATTAGTGAGTGGAAAAGCACAACTGAAATTTTGACATTCTGCAAAGTCTTATCCTCAAAGCTTTAGTTTATGTCTTCAAAGTCAGAACTGAACTGAACATTATGCTATCAAAGTCCATGAAATTTCCTTGATGGATGAGAATAACTGGGTTCATTGCTCTAAGCAGCTCATTTTGTTAGCAATTAAGCATTTCAGCCATGTCTATCACCAGGACCTACAGGACTAAAGTTGCATTATTTTGCCATTTCTTGAGAGGCTAAAAGATATTGCTAACTGGTATACAAGCATTTGTAAAACAGGATTGTCAGTAAATTTCTAGTTCAGAAAGGAGAAAACAAACAGAAAATAAAGCCAACCTACAGAGCTCTACCTACTATCTAAAAAATTATCTTCAAGCTACCACAGCAKACATGGAGCACTTTGATGTAAACTCTTCATAGATTTTCATGATTCTTAAAAGCTGTGACCCAGCCCAGTATGATGAACTACTCACTTACTTTCCAAGCTCACATGAGATATCAGGCAGACTAGTTGGCCAGGGCTTCTCTACGATGAACTTCAGGGCATACCAGAATTCTCCAATCAGGTCTGACCGGAACATGACACTAAAAACAGATATATAAGTTTAACATGACAGCTATTTTTTTTCAGATAATTAAAAAACCCCAAACAGATTAAAATTCAGGAGAAATCTAATGAGTTCAACACAGTGAGCTCTTTAATTAGATAATATTTTTCTTCTAACACTTCTCACTGTTATCTGAGTTCAGCTACCAAATCGAATAATATTTAGAATTACGGATGCAACAAAATCTCTTCTTYATCTTTCCTAAATTCTAGCAATAAAATTCATTTGTTGCTTGTGGTTTTTCTTAGTTAGCTTGCTTTTATCAAAAATACAACTCAAACATATTTCAGCTTACAAAAGTAAGCTTTAATTTCATTTCAATGTCACAATTTTATTTTTAGCCATTTTGAAGGGCAATGAAACAGAAATACATACACTAATTTTAAAAAGGAAAATCCTTTCAAATCTAGTGATGAAAACTGAGGAATGGATATAGACACATTCCTATGAGTATGGCAAAGAGATGCCTTCAAAAGAWTATTCTATATATTGTTTTGATATACAATCAAGGGTTGTCATGACTGAAAATTGCTTGCTGCTGGGTGAGATATGTACAGTAAAATCTTTCTGTGACAGACATTCTAATACAGTCCTTTCCAACTGAGGAATTTCTTTTCCATTTCTTGAGGTTTTTTTGAGTAGCAGAGTCATAATAACATTAAAACCAAAGAACTGGAAGCATTGCATTAGAAGAAATGCAATGTACAAACCCATGACCTGCTAAGGTTGAGTTCTTTTTCTAAATTATAGATAATGATGTCCATTCCATGACTTTATGGTTCCAGACTATCCCCTGTGCCAACAGAACTTTTAAAGTGAGCATAAAACAGCTCAAGGAAAGAATCAACCATTTGAAAAGGTACATCTGCCACAATCCCTTTTCCAACAGCTCTTCCCAGCTGCAAACATAGCAAAGGAAACAGAGCATGGCTTCAGAAAAAAAAAAAGTTAATGGTGTGGATGTAATGTGGAAGTAGCTCTGTGCAGCTGTAGCTGTATCCTTGGGAGCTACTGCAATTTAAAGGAGATATGAGACACYTCTGGAACAAAAATGCATAACCATATTGAGAATGTCCAGATGTGCTTTATGTCACCTTTGCATATATTCCTTAAGTCTCAGCCCATCAATCAGCTGARCCCAAAATTTTGCCAGTTAAAACAAGCCTTTATCATATTATTGGGAAATTCTGCACTTGAAAAATACCAGAAATATCATCTAGCAGGAAAAAAAAAGAGCTCTATTCTCATCTGCAGCTTCAGACAGCATTTCTACAAATTCCCACAGAATAAACAAAAAAACAAAAAAACAAACAAACCTACTTACTAGAGTTATAACTACWCATTTTTATAAAACAGTATTATTTGAATCTGTATCACTTAGTGATAYCTGACATTAATCTGGTCTTTGGAAAAATCATTTCAAGCAAATTAAAAAACCTCTGAATGGATTTTGATTTTGTAAATAYTCTTTCAAAACTGGTCAGATGTCTCTGCTCTCCTCATAAATCACCACATCCACCCTTGTCCCCATCCACATATTTTTGCCATTCAGTTGAGTTAATTGAAAAACAGGGAATTGTTTTTCAGTCAGCCCTTTGACTAAATAATGCTTTGGTATCCAAATTCCAGGAAAACAAGCTTTGCAATTCTACACTGTTCAGGTGCTTGCTGGACTGTTTTAGCTGAAACTAAGACCAAGAGGTCATCTGTCTTTMTAGCTAATTATCATACCTGCATGGTTTCCCTGGGATTTCCAATGTAAGGAAAAATTTTTAATTAAAAACCTCTCCATATTTATTTAGTAGATCATTGTTAATTAAAGGAAGRTTATGAAGGTAAATGGATTTAAGTGAAGACAGTTAAAGGGTTCTGATTTTCATTATATTTTTACAATTTCATTCCTTCTCAGGAAAAAAAAAAATGTGCTATTTCCTTTACAGAATTAAAATTACAAAACTAACTATTAATCTGAAGTTTTCAAGGGGGGCTTCTAACATTAAGTAAGTTTCTAAAACATTATTCACTAAATTCTAGTGAACCAGAACACCAAGGAGTTATTCTATTGCCTGTCAATAATGCTTTWCCCCTCAGAGGAAAGCTGCTGTTTGGGATACAACACACTGAAAGCTGTAAATTTTATTAATTCTATTTATTAACTCCTGTGGGGTTTTTTTTTAGGGCAATATTTTCATCAAGTAACTCAGGTTTCAATGAAAGAAGTTCATTTATTAGTAAAACAGCCACAATCACAAGTGTCAATGCTCTACAACCTACCTTCCACTAAAAGAGCCAAGACCAGATGGGGAAAACAGTAAGTGATATGAAAATGTTTGTTTGGGCTCAATAGTGAAAGACTTTTCTCCGGAAAGGGATGGATGGTCCAGCAGCACACCCATCCTGAGGGATTTATCTGTAGGATTAGTGATGGGAATATTGATTCCAACCGTATCCTAGAAAGAATTTTTAAAAAAACCAAAATCACAATATTAATTATGAGTGACTACAGGTAAAAAATATTTCTCAAACAGTTGTAAAGTGCTTACTCATTGTTAACTCATTTATGCAAACTCAGGAAGCACCTTTATCTGATGTGTGAATTAACCCAAAAAAAAAAAAAAATCAAGTCACAGCATAAATATTTCAGACAACCTTCAAATTGTAAACCCTTTTTTTCCATAAATACTGTAAAGTTCCAATCTTCCTGGCTGGTCTGCATTCTCACAGGCTRCTTCACCTTCCAAGATATGGCCAAGGCTTGCCAAAATACATCCTTCAAAACAATCTGCTGTAATCCCAACCAGGTAAAAACACCAAGCTCCAAAACAGCCAAGMACAGATAATTGGAATTGTCCACTTTGCAAGCTGGCAAATGTTTAGACYTAATTCTGCTGGATCTGTGCCCTTAATTTACAAGTTGCATCATAATACTTGACATTAGAACAAGACCACTACAATAAACATTCCCTTTGTCATTCTTTAGGCCATTTCCCTCACTAGTGATCTCATCTTTGTTTAAAAMCTTCAGTGAAGGGCCATCTTTCCGTGGCCATCTGGAAAACATGGATACAATTAAAGATGCCTATAAAATAAGAGTTACTGTAATAAAACAGAGCCAAACTGTGGCYTCATTAGATAAATATGCATATTTTACATGTGGAACGTCTTTAGGATGAGCAGGAATTGGGCAGAGACACCTCACTCTGAACAGTTCCTACATTTCAGCAGAGTTCCCTTCACTGTAAGGTCAGAAATAATGTAAATTCATCCTATGTGACCTGTGTGTATAAACATCAACACACTTTATGAAAAAAAGGAATTTACTTATGAAGGAAGTCCACTGTGATAACCCAGGAGGCATGGCATGCCTGCAGTTTAAAATATGTATGTTATATATGTATATATGTATGTATATATATATATATATATATGTATGTATATATATATATATATATATATTCATCTATAGAGATTCACAAAATCAAAAATCAAAGATTTTTTTTTCTCTGTACCTATTTATCCCTATCTTCCCTTCGCTCTAACCAAGCATTTTATTTCAAAATGCATGTTGGTTTGAGGGTTTTTTTAACATATAGTGATTTGTTTCTCACAGCAAAATTATTCCATGTACTTTTTTTGTAAGAAGTAAGTAATTCAAATTGCAATATGAAAGGAGGAAAAGATAAAATGTCCATTAAAATTAATACCACACTAAAAAATGAATATGAAATACTTTTATGACCCCACATAGAGCTGCCTCACACTGTTTTAAGCCTGCCTATGATTTGGTAAATTTCTATATATTTACATTTATAGACAATGACTACTAGAATATACATAAAACACATTTAATGTTCGACAGATGGCTGGCTAGATTACACCAACAATTTAAATCATTTAAGTGCCTCGCATCAGTAAAATGGGATTTAAATTTGCCATAAAATATTTTAAAGCTCAGATTAATAGTTTTTACTGATGTAAACAAGTTTCTAAATCTATCTACCATTTTATTGCCAAAGGCTTCATAACAATTTTATAGTAAAACATCTACATGCTGTGTTGAAGAAATACTTTTACAGTAAAAAGGAAATRTGGGACAACTGATTTAAGAAAAAAGCCGAAACTATCAAAGAAATCTTTTAATCTTGTACACAAAGGAAATTTTACATTGCCAATGTTAGCATAACACAGTGTTCTCTTGCCAGTATAAAATGAATGCTTAAGATTMTGTATTTCCCTGGAATCTCCCAGGAAATTTGCCTGGAATTGCCATACACATTTCAATTATCTGCTACTTCATAGATGGTAATAAGAGCAGTTGTATGTTTATCAGCAGAATATATATATAATTTTTCTATTTTTTTACATTTMTTGGCCTTATTGGATTGTTATGGAGGCACAGAACTAGGATAAATAACAAAATGGACATGCAATTGATAAGAGTAGWGTTTTTCTTGGAAGTACCATTTTATCAGACAGAATGTGAAAGAGGAATATCACAGGCAATTTCCAAACACATTTATAGTCATTAATTCAGTTCCACATTGCAGTTTTTTTTGAGTATTGTATAAACATTTTGACACAGGAGAAATTTAAAATTTAAAAAAAAAGAAGAAAATTAATCCCTTTCCTCAAACTATTTCTTATATCAAGGCTGCCAGTGCCCAAGATAAAGCCACTTTTGTGCACCATGTCATGCTATTATTCCATCAGAACCCTTAGCGACCCACCTCTTGTCTGGTGCAGGTCATTTAAAATAATCTCACATGAGTTAAAATTAAATAAAATGAAATGTATACATAGAATAACATTTATTCTCTATGGAACTTGAATAAACAATCGACTGCTAACACTTGATCCTGTATTAATTGCTAAAGTCTATGCATGGGTTTAATGCTCTGTAAACCAGGCTCTTTCAAAAGATGCTCACCATCATCAATTGCTCATTTCTGATATTATACCTGTTTGCTGAAATATTTTCCTGACATATTTTACACCAAAGATTTTCTCATTCCTTTCTCTATTTACTTCCTTGAGCARCTGGACCTAATTTACTGAAGTCCATAACATGCAATTTTATTTTTATTAAGGTATTCACTGCACTGAACTATCAACTAATCCWCTTCTGAGTTCAGCAAGGTAACTTGCAGGAAGATGGACACATTCTACAATKACTGTGCATGACAATTCTCTGTGTTCAATCTTCAGTAACAATCCTACTCTCACCAGCAGCAGGTGTCAATAAAAGCACTACCTGGCCAAAGTGTCTAAGACACTGACTACAGTTCTTATTCTTTACAAGAATTGTTTTCAATTAAAATATAGTTTCATTAAGGAGATGACATTCATTCCACATTGTTTGCAGCTTTTTCAATCCATAGACCCTGAGGTTGAAAGCATTTGTATTTGCTCACGAGTTTGCCAGGCTGTGGCTAGAGAAGCAAGTTTTCAAGTCAAGTAAAAAGTAAGAAAGTTATTTTTATAGGCCTGGTGAGATAATGCAGCAGAAATTTTTACCTTTGCAGGTCCTTGTCCAAATCATTGTTTTTCTGGATGGACAAGTAACAAGTGCCTTCTTTGTTTATGCCCCGCTTCATAACAGGCAGGAATGTTGCCTACTCAAAGACTGAACTTGGAATGGTGGAAATATTATTTTAAAAAAAGTAGATCTTGGCCTTCTGTCTTCCATAGGCTCAAAATCAGAGAAGAGAGCTTTCAACATCCCATCACAGCGTCCATAAGGCAGTAGTAGGATTTAGAGACTGCTGTTGTGTTCTCATCGTTACTCATTTCTGTTTCTTGGAACAAAAGAGGCTCAAGTGAGTCAAACAGCAGCAGCTGATRACAGAGTTCCAGGGCCTTGCCAAACAGAGCTCAGTCCAGCTTGGTCAAATTTTGGACTTTTAGAAATCAGTTCTGACTCTTGAACTGTGCCCCCAAGTCTATCCTCACACCCCCCTTCTCTGCACACACACTCCAACCCAGACAGGCACATCCACACCCAGCAGGGCCATTCTGCACTGACCATTCACACACCAACTCCTGACCTCCTCTGTCATCTTCAGGCTTCCTATTCACTCCAAAGTTACTGGAGAAGATCTTTCTAAAGTGAACCATCTCCTTTGCTGTACAAGTCCCTTTATTTGTTTTGGTTTTTTTTTCTCTCTCTGAGATGTAAATGAATTGCCAAGCCAACCCTCTTCTTTCCACGCAGGGTTATAATCCTAGAGAACCATGATTGCCATTATCTTGATACTGYATTTTCCCATTTTATTTAGCATATTTTGCCTTACAAAATATCAGCTTTCAAAAAGGCACCAACTGTTCATCAGCAGTGAAATCTATCAGAACAGCAAATTGAAATCTAGGACTAAACACCTAAAGCAAATTATATATTTGTAAGGTATATATTTGTATATACCTTAGTAAGGAATCCATTCTCATTACTATTGCAATATAGGAAATTAACTAGAAGGAAAAAATGTGCACAGGACATTTAATATCAGAAAATAATAGGGCAACGATTTTCAGGTCTAAATTTACATATAAATTTACATAGAAAAATCACGCCGAATTTAATTTCTTTTAGCTGTAATGTGCATTAGTACCTAAGTAATAATGCCCTGAAACAGAAYACAGCAATGATTATTTTGTAAGTTATTACAATAATTCTAAGCTCACTGACTAAAAATTACTACATTGTTAACCAATTAATAGGGGCTAGACATTGTACCAAGCAAGCAAACTGGGAAAACTATTTTTTGCAAGAGATGATTACAAAAAAGTATTTTCTGAAATGGAAGGAAAGAGACTGAAAAATATTTACATTTTATGACTGAATCTGTCTATGATGTCCACAGCTCCACTAAATGATACCACAATCCACACCAAACTGATTTTATAATAGTTTCTAGCACATGCAGGGAAAGATAATGAACTTAATAATATATACATATTTTGAAAGATAGAAAAAGTTGTAACAAAGATGAGTTGAATGCTAAGAGAAGTCCTATTTTARGATCATTCTAAGAAGCATACCTGAAATGAGGATACAGACTGACTCAAAGTAAAATTAATATCTCAAATTCCYACAACTGAGAAAGTAATAACTATGCTTACATCTTAATGAATACTTTTTGAATTTGAAATCAAGGGCACCTCTGCATCCATGGAGACTGAAGCTCAATAACTCTCCRTCCTCCTGAGACCACAGGCAGATTTTCTTCTCAGATCCAGCAGTGTTAGAAGAAGAAATTATCAATTACAGCTACTTTTTGCCAATGWCTATACTGAAGGTTGCTTAAATCACCTCATACAGCGACCTGGCTTATCAGTTGGGTTTGAGAGCTCTTCTTGAAAAAAACGTAAGAGTAAGCTAAGCTTTTGCATTACCAGGATCAGTGGGGATCACAGAACCATAGAATTGTTTGGGTTGGAAGAGATCTTAAAGATC